ACCATCCAAATATTACCACAAAATTACAAAAAAGTGAATATTTAAATATGATACAACGTTAAGCTTTATCACCATGATAAGAATATATATAATTTCATTTTTCAGATATTTTTGTAGACTACTAACAATAAATTTTTATAAATAAGCAGACAGCTTACTTGTAAAACAATGGTCCAGACTCTGACATGTTTAAATAAGCGTACAGCCCGAAAAGAACGGTTGCCGTAGCAATGAACAAGCCCACTTTTCCCCTATAATGTAGCAGTAGCCAGTTCGGTATATAATTACGAAACACTAACCAAGAAGAAGGTGCCCTTGCTTTTCTTCTTAACTGTTCTTTTCTAAATTAAAAAGAAATGAATAAAATTTAAAATCACATACAGATATTACAAGAGGTACAAATATAACACATCAAACCTAAAAGTATACTTCAATAGTTTTAAGGAAAATCATTAGATTTCTTATTCCAATGAATAATGAAATCAGTGCTAATCAAACTAAGTGAAAATTAGAGCTGTTTATACAAAAAATGTAACAGCAGGCGAAGACATGTACTAAATTAATGTTTGACATGCCAAAAACATACTTAAAGATAAAGGCAAAACATCTTAAGTAAGAAATAAAATGGGAAAAAATAAAAGTATGCAAACGCAAAACATTCAATTTATTTACAAATAAAATTAATTCAGTCTCATTTTGTAATAATCTCGTTTAGTTTATTTACAAATAAGTATATCAGTCAATTTTTTATTAATCTATATACTTAGCCTAACTACAAATTAAAAATATGATGTGACTAAATTTAACAATGAGATTCTCAAAAAAAAGCTAATCACAAGTACTTTTTTGAATTTGATTGTTTAAAAGCACCAATAAACACAATGTAAGTAATCGGATTGATAATTTTTTTAAAAAATTGAATTAAAATCATTAAATGCTTAAAAACGTAGTCAAAAAATACATACTCTCTTTTAACACGTTTATTTACGTCTTTTTCTAGCTTGTGTGGTGGATGCTTCTCAAATAATCTCGTTGAACACCTCAAAACTTCTTCAAAATCAATGTTATCTGGTATTTGTGATAACAAACAGTGTATATTTGCCATATCACAACCAGCTTCATATATTTTATCCTTACGGTACAATACTAATGATGCTGCGGTATATAATGGCATCAAAGGAGGGGATGCAAGAAAATAATCATAAAGTCGTACTACATCTCGATACTGATTTAATGAATGACCAAACCATGTTAAATACCAAGGAAGAGCAAACATTGTCCCCACCATTGCACTGCAAATTAAAAAAAATACAAAATTTATTTAAAAAATTATTTGATTTTGAAAGAAAATAGAGCTCAAAAAAGCAATACCTTTCTAAAAAATCGTGCAATTTTTTGTCTTCCCTCTGTAATAGTGGATACAAAAAATTCAGTCTGTAAGATGTTTTTTCCATTGTTGGTTCCATGCACTCTCTTAAATGAGTTGTACTTAATACGAAGAAAGCGGTAAACAGTCTGGTAATAACAAGACCTTTAGAAATACGTTTTTTTGTATTTATATTAATGAGAAACTTCTATTAATGATAATAAACTCAATATTTGATGCGCTAACTGAATCAACCAAAAACCCACATCTTAACAAAATAAAATACAACTGATTTAATTAGTAGGTAACAGGAAAGTTTCATTTAATGCTAATAGTTTTTCTTTTTGTATAATAACACTTATTTACATTCAAACAGGAAATATTATTTCAACATTTAAATACTATAAAACATTTTAATTAGCAGATTTTGGTAGGCTTAATACAATCTAACTTTACTTCTCTATATATACGAAATGTATGCCAACTAAAGCAAATAAATAAGATTTTACCCTACTATATAATACACATTTAATAAATGCTTTACACTTGCATATGATACCTTGTATAAGTAAAATAAAATGATAACAAATGATTATTTATAATTACTTTTTGTATCAAAAATAGCACACATATTTTAAAACAGCGTATAAAATCGATTGTGCATCATCATTTTAGTCGATGAAGCCACTAATAATTGTCAGGTATTCCGAAGATTTCGTCTACAAAAAAAATATACATGTAAGTTGTTTGTAATCTGATTAATAAACGAATACATAAAATAAAATAATAGAGATATTAATTTAGTATAACTATTAAGTTTTTGAAATAAAAGAATATTTTTATTGCATAATTTAATAA